TGGGCTGGCATTCCTGCCTGTCAACAAACAGCTAGGACCCATGAGCCCTGGGTGCACCATGGAGGTTGGCAACCTGCTCTGCCTTTCTATTTTTTTACCCTGTCCTCCAGGTTTGCCTCAAGCTATACTGCTCAGCAGCTGAGTCCTAGGGCAAGGGATTTAGCTTATATCTGCGAAGTGGGAGTGATGACCCCCATGGAGATACTAGGGGGATAACCTGAGACAATTCCAAGGAGTACTATCATCATCATCATCATCTCCATTTTACAGGAGAAGAAAGGCACAGAGAGATTCCATAGCTTGACCAAGAGCACAGCTATCAAGGAGCAGAGCTGGGACTTAAACCCAGGCAGCTGGGTTCCAGCATCTATGGACTCTTAACCACCCCACTAGCTGCTTCTGGGTATAAGATGGGCAAGTATTTTGTAAGTTTACAAAAACTCAATGCACCCCCGAAGGATAGCTATAATTCTGGGAAGGCATAAACCAAGCACCCCACCTCTACCCCAGGTCAAAGCCAGAGGAAGAGCCACTCTGGTGTCGTCCAGTGCCCCCCGCCCATCCCCCCACCCCCACCCAGGCAAGCACCTGGCCAAGCAGAACTCTACCCTGGAGTTCCAGGACTTTCGTTATGGACAGCCAGGGAGGCCTACAACTGATGGCTCTCTGCCCTGCTTCCCCTTCCTCCTGCGGGTGGTCTGGTACCATGATTAACAACAGACTCTGGAGCCAGACTGTCTGACTCTGGATCTGGCTCTACCTCACTAACGAAATGCGGTTGCACATAGTGCTTGCTGTATTAATTGAGTTAGTACATGTAAGTGCTTAGTATGTGTCTGGCACATAGTAAGTGCTGAGTAAATGTCAGCTGTAATTGGCAACTATTCCCTCACCTGATCAGCTCTATACCTTCCTCCCACCCCAAGGTTCTCAAACATCCTGACTCTTGTTTTTGATCAATTCCCACTTTGGAATTAGGAGTATGACCTTATCTTTAGATGGCAAAGCTGATCCAAAGGGGGAAAGCAATGATGGGGGATTTCAGGCATCACAGCAGGCTCTTGGGAAGTCTTTTGAGGACAAGCACTCTCCTGGGAACTCTAACTTTGTTCAGGTGGTGGCTTCTTACTATACTCGCCTCTGGAGTCTGGAAGGAAGTTGGGGAGACACCCAACTCTTGGGGAGCTAGAGAAGGAACTCCAATGGCTTCTTTTGCCTCCCCTTCCCCCTCCTACCCCTCTCCTCACTCATTCTAGGCCCCACGTATCCCCTCTCCTCCTCTCCCTCCCAGGACTCAGGTGACTGTCCTCTAGGTGCTGTCTGCTGTCTATAGGTGACTCCTAGCCTGTCTGCTAGGAAAGCAGTAGAATTTCATGCAAGGTTAATGGCTCTTGTCCCTAAATAGCACCATCACTGGGTCTGCAATGCAAACCCCCATTCCCCATCTTGGGGGCCAAGCCAGCACAGGAAGAGGAGCATCCTGAAGGCAGAGGCTTGGCTGGTATTGGGACTCCCGGGTCTTGTCCTGGCTGGCCCAAGGGGAAAAGCAATGACTGGAGGTGACATATGGTGAGGAGGCTGGACTGAGGTGGAGACAGAGATGGGGAGCTGCAATCAGAGCAGCACCCCAGGACCTGAGATGCAGTCTAAGAGAAGAGGTATCTGGCCTGGACAGGGACTTCTGTATGGTAGAGCTCTCCCCCTCTCTCCTAAGCCACGTTCACCTCCAGGCATCATTGCCCAGCAGTGTTAAATTTATAAAGAGCTCTGGGAGCCATAATCCCACTCAACCTTCAGGAGAGCCCTATAAAGCGGTGACTGCTCTTATGCCCATGACTTGAAAATAATCTTAGAAAAGTTGTCACTCATGCATCCATTTAAAAAACATTTATTCACTGCTTGCTGTATGCCAGGAAATAAGTCCAGCTCTCCTGATTCAAGGTCTTTCCACATATTTGCTTCAATATGTTGATTCCTGATTCCCCCTCCTCCTAAATTTGCCCCCAAATACTCCCCTTCGGAGGAGGCTGGGCCATAAAAGGCACTGTGGCTCCCTGCTTGTTCTCTCTCCCTCTCTCATTGCTCACTCTGCAGGAAGCCAGCTATTATGTCATGAGCAGATCTAGGAGAGATCCATGTGAACTGAGGCCTCTGACCAACCTGTGAATAAGCTTGAGAGTGGGTCCTCCAGACTCAGCCAACATCCTGACTGCAGCCTCAGGAGAGGCCCTGAGCTAGAACCACCCCTATAAGGTGCTCTTGGATCTCTAGCCCTCAGAAACGGTGTAAGATAATGAATGTTTTTGTTTTAAGCTGCTGAGTTTTGGGGTAATTTTTTTTCTTTTTGAGGAAGATTAGCTCTGAGCTAACATCCACTGCCAATCCTCCTCTTTTTGCTAAGGAAGATTAGCCCTGAGCTAACATCTGTGCCCATCTTCCTCTATTTTATATGTGGGACGCCTGCCACAGCATGGCTTGATAAGCGGTGCATAGGTCCGCACCTGGGATCTGAACCAGCGAACCCCGGGACCCCAAAGCAGAGCAAGCAAACTCAACTGCTATTCCACTGGGCCAGCCCCTGGGGTAAATTTTTTATGCAGCAATAGATAACCAATAATCTTCCCCACTGTAGGAACCCCCTCTCTCTGCAAAACCAACTCATACCTTTACTGGGAAGCTCAAATCCTTTAAAAGTTTCTTTTTCTCTTATACTCAGGTAAGGTAGTAAAACGAGTCAGAGCACATACATTCAAATATCTACAGTTGCTGCTTTCTAGCTGTGGGACGTTGGGCAAGTTACTTAGCCTCTCTGTGACTCAGTTTCCACATCTGTCAAACAAGGATGGAAAGGAAAATTGTGAGGATTAAATAAGAGAATAACAGATCTGTGAGAGTAACTGGCCCTGTGCTGGGCACTGGTGGATGCCTGATAAATCTGAGCTCCCTCTGGTCCCCTCTCACTTTCCAGTCCTGACTCCTTTGCATGCTCCCAAGTCCCTGCCCAGAGAGGCTAGGACAGGACCAGGTGCTTTAGGAGCTCCCATCCTCTTCCCACCATTGGAGACAGAGGAGGAGGAGACCTGCCCTGCGCCAGGGATTTTCTTCCAGTCTTGGGGTGAGAGGAGATCTGTCCACTAGAGGCGAGAGGCAGGATATACTTCTGGAAAGGTCCATTTTCAGAGCAGAGGATGGTGCCGTGTTGGCCAGGCTTGGGGTCCAGGCTAGCCACCCCACCACCTCCTCTGAGGGTAAAAGGAGTCTAATTTGCCACTCACTAGTCCCTAACATATTAGGAAAATTGCTATTTCCAAGGCTTTGTCCATTTCCTTTCCTTTTCACGAGCTTCTTTTCTCCCTTGCCTCCCTTTTTAAATTTTTAAAATTTATTTTAATCACAAATAATATATGAAAAATAATATTAGTCAATATTTCCTGGGAACTTACCAGCCAAGTTTCTAAGATTGTTATGTGTCTCACAACCACTTTATGAGGTAGGTTCTGATGTTAGCTCCACTTTATGGCTGAGAAAACCAAGGCATAAAATGCCCAAGGTCACAGAGGCAAAAAGAAGCTAATGAAGCTCGGGCTTCAAGGTCAGTACCTCACGTACACAGGTTGTTCCAAGACTCTGCTTAATTTTGGATTCATATTTAGTAGTTCTTTCCTTAAGGACGCCCACAGAAACTGGATGTGGCCTCAGAGGTAAGAGACAGTGTGCTGTTTTCTTGCAGATATTTAAAAAATATATATGCATCTATAAACACGCACACACGGAAATAGACTCGCCCCCTTTTAAAGAATACTTGCGGTCCTACTGTGGGTATAGCCGGCATCCGGCTCTTTTAACAGAAAATCTTGACTGCCTTTCCACGCTTCTAACCGTCGCAGGGTGTTCGCCACAGATGCTCCAAGGTATTTACTCACCTTCGCAGAGTTGAGCCCTCCACTCCCCTCCCAGCCGCGTCCGCCAGGGCGCCGGGGTTCCTCGCTGCCTCCCCGGGTATTCTCCCGTCTCCCCGTTCAACCGGGTTTCCTCCCTCACACCGCCCCCTTCCCCTGGCATTTTCGCTCTCTCCTCCGCCCGCATTCCTAGCTGCCTCCGGCATTTCTGCCCCCTCCCTGCCCCGCCCCGGTACTTCACCGCCCACCCGGTTTTCTGCCGTACCCGCCCCTCTCCCGCCTCCACTTTCTCCCAGCCAACCTCATTACCCTCATTCTCAGTACCCCCCCATCCACGCGTTCCCCCCACCCTCCCAGCCAGCCCTGCCACTCCGCGGCCCGGCAGGGGTGCACAGCCGGCGGGCTACGACGCGCGCTGACAGTGTAATGAATGGCTACAGCGGTAATTAGCGACCCGGCGGCTAATCACGAAGTACATTTACATTTTAAGTGCTGCAGAGGGAGGGGGGAAAGGGAGGGATTCGGCGGGAGGGCATGCAGGCCTTTTCCACGCTCTCCCTTCACTGACTGGGGAGCGAAGTGAATCCGAGTCTTTTACCGCTGGCGGCAGTTGGAGGGGGGTTGAGGGTAGGTGCCTTCGAGGGCCAACCGAAGCGGACGCAGAACAGCCCCATCCTTACCCTACCCTCGCCAAACCTGGATCTTCTAGGCCTTTGCCTCCAAACTACAGACTCCTGCTTATATCCCCTCCAAGTGAACGTTCAGCCTAGGCTTGCATCCCCCTTTGGATGGAGAGCTCGCTTCTTCCCTAACCAGCCTATTCTACCGTAAATTCCAGCCGTTCAGGCACTTTTTCTCGAGCCTAGCCGAAACTGCCACCTTTAAGTCCCACAACTGCCTGGGTCTTGCAGAGCCTGAGGTTCCCCGCGCCCCACTACGCGCTGCAGACAATCTTTGTGTCTTCTCAAGGCCGCTGTACCTCCAGCTTCTATGGCTGTTCCTCAGGGGGCCCGCGGGAGAAGGGCAGCGGCTAAAGTCCATATTTGGAGTGGACTGCGACCTCGAGGGCCCTTAATCCCAACGCGCGAGCAAGAGATCGGAGAAGGGGCGGTCGCTCATACGTTGGGGCGCAAAGATCCACCTGTTCCAGCAACTCCCAAGGGGCGGTAATGGGGTCAGCCCCAGGTTCTGAACAGCAAGGGCCGAGAACTAGAAGATACAAGATGCTGAGGAGGCGAGAAGATCCTGAAGATGGAGAGGGGGACCGTGACAGCCCTGTCTCATGACTGGGGCCCAGCACCCCCAAGCACTGGTATGCCCCCAGCACTTTCAGAGTTTCCCGCCCAAGGCAGCTCTCCGTGCGCCTCCCCGCTACACCCAGTTCTAGTCTGCCCCATCCGGATCAGGCGCCCCACTCTCTCGTTTCTGACTGTGCGTGTGTGTGAGAGGGGTGGAAGGATGAAGGGCGATGCCCCAGAGCAGTTCTAAAGAGGGGCCAGCTCCTTCTCAAACCCCCTCCCTCTCATCAGCAGTCCTTCAATCCCAACCTCACCCCTCCCTTCACTGCTCATCTCTCTTGGGAGGAGATCCAGGGCCACTTTCCTCATCCCTTGGAGTTCCCTGAGAGGGGCACCCAGTAGCTTCATAATACCCCCAAAGCTTCAACTTCCCACCTTCCGCCATTCTCTCTCTCAAAACCTGCCTTCATCGTCTCCTTTTTGAAAAAAAGGATCCCACTGAGTCTCAGGGGGTCAAGGCTGACTGACAACGAATTCCACTTGGGAAGAAGGGACTCACGTTAGCAGGGAAGCATGCTCGGCTCACCCTAAAGCATGCAGCTCTAATGGTGTGCTTTCAGGCATGGGTGGAGGGAGCTTAACTCCCCTGGAGAAGGGGTCTCCTTTTCCCATTCACCTCAGGGAACAGCTTGACGCAGAGCCTCACTCCCCACACGCAGGGGTGTACGGGGGTCCAGGAGCCTCCAGCTCCGGTCAGGCGCACCGAGGCTGACATCTCGGTTTTTGGCTGCCCTGCGAGGACCACGCCGTGAATAGTCGTCCGAGGGTAGGCGCGGAGCACAGCCGGAGCCAGCGCCTCCCGCACTCTGCTGACCGTGCACAGGCTGTCCTTGAGGCGAGAATACTGGCTCGGGAGCGGAAGGGACAGAGTAGGGGAGTTCTCTGGAGGATTGGAGGAAAGAGGCCCCAGCAGCCTACTTAGAAATCTCTCCTTGGGAGGGGACAAGGGGTAGCCTTCAATTTGAACGCGGAAGTGCTCGGGGACCCGACTTGTGGCGGCATTTGCATCACAAACGCAGTTCTTATTTAGGTTGCCCGTTTATGAGGGTTGGCTCGGAGACGACTGATGGAGATCATAAGGGAACTTCGCTTGACAACCCACCGCCTTGCGTTGCCCTTGCGCCCCAGCGTGTGCACCGCTCCCACGCCCCCGTAGCTGAGGACCCGACTGAATCCGAGAGGATGGCGAGGCTGGGACCCGGGCAGGCTGGGCCGAGTTAAGGGCGGGGCCTGGCGGAAGGGGCGGGGGCTCCCAGGCTCCCAGGCGGGGCCTCCGCTGAAGGTGCGGAGCTCAGGGTGCCGAGAGCGCGGAGTAGAGCAGCGCCCACTGGAGAGAAGTGGGAGACAAGGATCGCGCCGTCCTAGCCCGCCTGCCAGCGTCCACGCGTCTCCTGCATCTTTACCCCTTCCCGGCCCTTGCCGGACGCGACTGGCGGCCATGCAGCCCCGGGGTTGAGGCGGCCCCATGGCGAAGCTCGCGTCCCCGCGGTCCTGGCAACGACGGCGCATGGAGAACTTCCGTAAGGTGCGCTCCGAGGAGGCGCCGGTGGGGGGCGGGGCCGATGGGGGTGGCCCGGGCTCTGGCCCCTTCGCGGACCTGGCGCCGGGAGCGGTGCACATGCGGGTCAAAGAGGGCAGCAAGATCCGGAACCTGCTGGCCTTCGCCACCGCCAGCATGGCGCAGCCAGCCACACGCGCCATCGTCTTCAGCGGCTGCGGTCGGGCCACCACCAAGACCGTCACGTGCGCGGAGATCCTCAAGCGCCGCCTGGCGGGCCTGCACCAGGTCACGCGGCTGCGCTACCGGAGTGTGCGCGAGGTGTGGCAGAGCCAGCCACCTGGGCCCTCGCCGAGTCAGAAGCCTGGCGACCCAGCTACCAGTCTCAGTGTAGTTAAGAACGTGCCCAGCCTCGCCATCCTACTTTCCAAGGATGCACTGGATCCGCGCCAACCGGGCTACCAGCCCCCTAACCCCCTTGCTGGCCCCTCTTCCCAGCCATCCACGCCCACATCCAAGAGGAGCCTAGGGGAACCTGCGGCTGGAGAAGGCTCCGCGAAGCGATCACAACCTGAGCCAGGTGCTGCGCAAGAGGACTAGACAGCCTGAGAATTCCCGGCTCTGGGCCACCTAGATGGACCTTGAGACGCACCTTCAGCCTTTCAGGCCTCGGTACTCTGGAGCCCACAACCTGGACACAACTCCTCAGACTGGCAGCATGGACCCCAAGGCGACAAGAGAGGGACCCCAAGGAAGCTTCGTGGGCTGGTTGCTCCTTCACCTGTGTTGCCTGAAGACGCAGAACTCCACCTTCAGCTTTTTTGAGCCATACTGGGACCTTCTTCAGGAGGGAATGGTGGGCAGGGGGACTCGAGCCTTGCTCAGGGACCCCGAGGGTTAAAGGTACCCAGCATTCAGGTGGGGGCCTCTGAGTGTGGAAGCCCAGGAGAGCTCTTGTAATCACCCCCACCACTAGCAGCAGAGGGCAAGGGCTGAGAAACTGCTTGAGGAGAGGGGAGTCTGAGTTGTGGGGGGGCACTATTCTGCCCCTCGCTCCAGAACACAGTTCCCTTTCTAGTTTTCCTTCCCCTACTTTTAAGGAGCATCCTGAAATCGTGGCAGGGGCATCTCCATGGCCTCTAGCTCTTTTAACAAGCCCCCTACCCCCGGCTGGCTCAGAGGGAGAGACCCAGGACAGAAGTCTCCATGCCTGCTCCCCTGAGCCCCACAGCTAGAGTCTTGCTTCCAATAAAACAAATGCAAAAATGGCTCTTTCCCCAGGTTTTTTCCTAACCACTGTGCAGAGACTGCTCTGGCCTACCCCCTTGTGTCTCAGTCCTCTCCAGCTTGGAATCCTTAGCTTTTGGTGTCTTCAGGGTCAGGCACAAAGATTGGAGAGCTTCAAAATGGTGCAAGGGACACATTGGCTAGTTCCTGGCTTTTCCCTATCTCCCAGCCCTTGCTGGCTGGTTCTAGCCTCAGGGGCTTGTGGCCCAAAGGGTGCCTTTGTCCCCTTGTGCACTACCTCTAAGGGAAATGGAGCAGCACATTGCTTTTCTGGGAGGGGAAGGAAGCCGAGCATTGATGAACTCTGCTGAGGGACACTGTCAAGGGTGGCAGACCCCACTGGGGTCCCTAAACCTGCAGCCTCCTGCCAATAGACAGCCTTATTCAGAAGGCTGGCACAACCCCACCCCCCGAGCCCCATGGTAGGATCTCCCCTTCACTGCTTTCTCTCAGAAAGGACAGCACACCCTTGGAGAGGGGAGGAGAGAGACTGAGCACAAATCCACTGCTGGAAATTACTATTCAGCAGAGAAGCTGGGACTTGGGCTGTGAATCACTGCAGGCTCCCTGATAAGCTGCTGCCTGCAGCCCTGCACAGCTGTCTGTGGAAAGATAACAGCCTCATAAGCCGCGCTGCCCAACTCCAAGTCAACTGGGGGGAGTAGGGGGAAGTGCTGTGTGCTGGAAGAACTCTAGCAAGTGAAGGAGGGGCACATAGCTCCAGGATCTCAGAAGCAGAGCCCACCCAATGCAACTCGACAGCACCCCTGGAAAGGAGATAGGGAAAAATGTAAGTCACTTTGCTGGCAGAACCCTGAAATAAATTCTGCTGGTGACAAGAGTAGGTTTCTGCAGCTGACAGGAGGGGCCCTTCAGGGAGTTGTCCCCCACCCCCTTGTCTGCTTAAGCTTTTGATCAGTGAGCCCTGTCATCTAGAATCTGACACTGATCACGCTCCTCAATTTCTTGTTCTTGATGAGTCCCTGGGGAGAACCAAGGGTTTTTGAGTGTGCTTCTCTGACCCTCGCAGGGGCAGCCCAAGAAGAATAGAGAGAATGTAAACTCTCCGGACAAGTAACGTGCTCTGGGCCTGTCCTGGGTTTCCATATGTAAAGTAAATGATAAAACTTGGAAGAGGTCCTGCATGGTAGAAGCTTAAAGGAGACTGGTCTTGATTCTGGAAAAGGGCCAACCTTCCAAGGCCGTTAGTGTCTGAAGTCCTGATTGCTGGTTCACGAGGACTATGCAGGCAGAGGCTTTCTCTTGATGGCTTGAGTCAGGTAAGTCCCTTTCCAGCCTAGAAACTCATCCTGCAACATGGGGAGGAGAGGGGCATGTTGTTTCCTCACCTTCAGAGTATTAACTTGCCCCCACGGTGGGCTGAGTTTCTGCTTCCCATGCCAGAAAGCGGGTTTTGAAACTGGCTTTCTTTTCTGCACCCCCACTCCACCCCAGCAGGGTCAGTTCCCATTCTTTTGATAGGTGCTCTTGGATGCTAATGGAACCCAGCACCCGTGAGCACCCCACCCCTGCCTTACTGATCCTCTGGCCCTGCTGACCCAGGAGCAGGCTCCACAGGAAGACGATAGCTGTACCTGTACACCCCCATCCCAAGGCTGAGGTGAAAACCTGAGAAGTGCTGGAATAAGGAGGAGAGTGGCTAGGGGAGCCCCTCAGAGACGCCCACTTTGGGAGCTGACTAGTAGCAGAATGGGAGGGAGTGGGAAGCCCCCCTGAGAGACCCCATCTTTCTTGTGGCCTCTATCCAGGAGCTTCCTGGGCCCTGCCTTTGGGCACATGCAGGCTAGGAGTGGCAGTGAAGGCTCACACCCACAAAGCTGTCATATCACACAATAAAATCCATTTGGAGGCTGGCCCCTGTGGTCTAGTGGTTAAGTTCAGCGTGCTCTGCTTTGGCAGCCCCGGTTTGGTTCCTAGGCGCAGGCATATACTGCTCTGTTAGCCATGCTATGCTGGTAGCCCACATAATAAAAAAAAGAGGAAGACTGGCATGGATGTTAGCTCAGGGCAAATCTTCTTCAGGAAAAAAAAAAAATCCATTTGGGAAAATAAATGTATATAATCCAAGGCCAGAGCTTGTGGTCAGACGGGCAGTGGACCTCCAGCTGGGCCTTGAGGGACTTTGTTGTTGTGCCAAGTCCTAATGTAGGCACAGGGTGGAGCTGGGGGGAAGAATCACAGTGTAATTAGACATTTTTCCTGCCTCAATGATGTCCCAGTCTAGTGGAAAGAAAGAAAAGAAAGTTACAGCACAATATAATGATAGTGGGCAAAGGCGGGAGCTCTAAGAAGGGGCACTTAATACCCAGAGGTGCTGATGGGGCTGGTTCCCCAAGGACCAGAAGGAGTTACAGCTAGACAAGACTGGACAGGGAATTCCAGGCAGACCACAGAAGGTGATTCTACATCTGCTGTTATGGGAACCATAAGTGTCTGAAGGATACGTGGTGAGAGGCAGGTGGGACTGGAGTACCAGGTGGGAGCCAGGTTACATGGAGCCTCCCTGAAGGAAGTGGGGGGCCAATGGAAGCCAGGGAGTGCCCCAGGCTGACTGGCGTTTGAAAAAGATCCCTCTGACACCTGTGTTGGTAGGAGGTGGTTTGGAAGGGGCCTGACTGGATCTCAGAGGCTAAAGAGAGATAAGAGATGGGACAGTGGTAGTGCGGACAGATTTGAGAGCTCCCCAGACTGGGTAGGATTTCACTGCCATTACAGCCAGGACAGAGGAGAGCTTCTCCTTGTAGCATTAACCTTAGCCTGGCCAGGACTTGGCCTGCCTTCCTGGCATCCCAGGGGATATGTTATGTAAGGGCCAAACAATAGAGGGATTGCGGGGGGCGGGGGAGAGTGTCCACAGCTTCAAATTGGTAAAAACTTTAGGAGCTGTTGTCCCTTGGCCACAAACGTGCCAGGGCATGTTCACTGCACAGTAGGGGGACGACCTGGGTCAAATAAAGTCCCACCCACTCACACACCTCCCTCATCCCCCTCTCTCAGTCTCCCAACCCCCACCCCATTACGCCCCATTAGTTTTGCAGTTTGGTCATTGCTAAGCCCACCTTAGTCACTAGGGACTCTAGTCCCCTCTATTTCACTGTGATGTTGAAATACCTCCCTGTCTCCCAGAGAGAGGGGTAATTGAAAAAAGGAGGGGAGGGAAGAAAGGAGGAGAGGGTGGAAAGGAGGAAGTGAAGAGGAAGGAAGGGAGGGAGGGAGGAAGGAAGGAAATACAGCCATAGGAGAGTCTCCTTGGTGACACCAGGTTTCTTCTTCTCAGAGCACAGATTTTAGTTTGTAATTGTACCCTCAATGTGATCCTCTGGTTGTCAGTCACCCCAATAAAACAGAAGCCATGATTGAATGGATCCTGCCTGCCTTGTTCCCTACCCAGCTCTTGACACAGAGGAAGCCCACAGAGAACTGTTGACTGAGTGAATAAAGACTGGCTGAGCCAGATTTCTGAACTGTTCTGATGCCACATCGAAGTCCTTAACGGTCCAGTCCATGGACAGTGGCCCAACCTATCTGCACCACAGCTTCTCTTCCCATCTGGGCCCTTGAGTTCTAACTACTCTTTGAAGAAGCTCAAGGTCACCATAGATTTGTTTGGTTTTGTTTTTGAGGAAGATTAGCCCTGAGCTAACTGCTGCCAACCCTCCTCTTTTTGCTGAGGAAGATTGGCCCTGAGCTAACATCGTGCCCATCTTCCTCTACTTTATATGTGGGACGCCTGCCACAGCACGGCCTGCCAAGCGGTGCCATGTCTGCACCCGGGATCTGAACTGGCGACTCCTGGGCCGCCGAAGCAGAACCTGCACATTTAACTGCTGCACCACCGGGCCAGCCCTCAGCTTTTTTTGTTAAAAAAAATTATAAGGATGTGGAAAAATTGGAACGTGTGTACATTGCTGGCCGGAAGGGAAAATGGTGCAGGCTGCTTTGGAACAGTTCAGCAGTTCCTCAAAAAGTTAAACATAGAGTTACCATATGACCCGTATAATACTCTTAGATATATACCCAAAAGAATTGAAAAATATGTCCACACAGGGGCTGGCCCCGTGGCCGAGTGCTTAAGTACGTGCACTCCGCTGCAGGCGGCCCAGTGTTTCGTTGGTTCAAATCCTGGGCACGGACATGGCACTGCTCATCAGACCACGCTGAGGCAGCGTCCCACATGCCACAACTAGAAGGACTCACAACAAAGAATATACAACTATGTACTGGGGGGCTTTGGGGAGAAAAAGGAAAAAAATTAAATCTGTAAAAAAAAAAATAAAGAAAAATATGTCCACACAAAAACACATACACAAATGTTTAAGCAGCCTTATTCAGAATAGCTAAAAAGTGGAAACAACCCAAATGTCCATAAACTGATGAAAGGTAAGAGAAATTATTTAATTATACTCCATTAAGTAACTCCATTTAATGGAGTATGATTCTGCCATGAAAAATGAAGTAATGAGTCATGTTACAATGAGGATGAACCTTGAAAACATTATGCTAAGTGAAAGATACCAGACAGAAAGAAGACGTCATTTAATTGTATTTATATGAAATGTCCAGAATAGGCAAATCCATAGAAACAGAAACTAGATTAGTGGTTGCCTAGGGCTAGTGGGGTTGGTGGGTGCCGTTGGGTGTGGGGTTTCTTTTTAGGGTGATGAAAATGTTCTGGAACTAGTGATAACGCTTATACAACATGGTGAATATACTAAAAATCACTGAATTGTATACTTCAAAAGGGTGAATTTTAGTATGTGTTATATTTCAATACAAAATTATATCCTTTAATGATTTTCTGATCATAAAAATAATAATTTAGGAAATTACATAATAATATAAATAAACTACGAAAAAGTATCATCAGAGCCCTCCTATCTCTGTTGGATGGTGGCCCCACAGGATTACCTTTGAAGACTGTTTCCTTCTGCCACCCTTCTCCCTGATTCTCAAGTGATCCATATGGTGTGTTTGTCTACCCCACCTCCATGCTTTGTCCCCATCTCACAACCTACCCTGCCCTAGGAAAAGAATTTCTATGATTTTACAAGAGGAAAATACTTGTTCTACAGAGTAACAGTTACCATTTATTGAACCCTTACTGTATGCCAGCCAGGACACAGTGTTTTACATGCATTATCTTATGTAATCTTCCCAATGACCTATTAGATAGGTTCCACTATTGTTCCCATTTTATAGAAGAGGAAACTATGGTTCAGGAAATTGGAGTAACTCGCCTAAGGGCATATGGCAGAGCTATAATTCAACAGCAGGAAGAATGTCATTCTCTCAGGTGCCATATCTTGTTCATCCCCATTTTCAAAGCAGTCTAGTAGGGACATCACCATCATTGAAGGTGAGTAGGGCCCTGAGGAAATGGAAGCAATGTAGGGTCAGACTAATGGCCTCAAGGGCCACTTCCAGCCTTGAAATGGCAGGATTCGTTGTTTTCCTGATGCATGTTTCATTTCCCCCAGAGAAGATAAGAGCTTTTCTTGAATGTGAACTTCCCTTTACTAGACATTCACATGGTGAAACAGTGTCCTTTTCCTCACAAGCTCCTCAGTAACATCATCCCTCCCCTCTGCAGACATCAGAGGAAATGCCTCATCACAACTGTTCCAGGATGAAGGCTCTGGGCTGCAACAGGAAGCCCATAGGCTGATGGACTAGTGATGATGATCCGTGAGGCATCTGAAGTCCAGCTACTGCTTCTCCAGAGGGACAGAAAAGCATTTCGGGGCAGAAGATGGTAAGAAGAGACAAAAGACCTTGATGGCCTTGGGCAAGATCCAGGATGTCTGGTCTGAACTCATCAGGGAGGGAACACCCACCAGAAGCAGCAGAATGGCCTGGAGGTTGGAGGCACAACTGGAGGCAGACCTGGGAACAAGCAGTGGCCCCTGTAAGTGATGTGGTAGGGGGGATTCAGAGATGGTCTCCAGGATTCATGCCCCCTGGTGTACATGCCTTGTATAATCAGGGCGGAATCTGTGAATTTGATGGGATATCATTCCCAAGATTAGGCTACTAATCCATTTACTTTGAGTCAATCAGAAGAGAGGTTACCTTGGATATGCCTGACCTGTGCCTGATCAGATGAAGTCTTTAAAAGGGTGAAGTGTCAGAGAGACACTCTCCTGCTAGCTTGAAGAAATAAGCTGTGGGATTGTGAGAGGGCCTATGGAGGGGGCCATTTGGTAAGGCCCAGGAGGTGGCCTCTAGGATCTGAGAGTGGTCCTTGACTAACAGCTAGCAAGAAAAAATGGAGACTCAGTCCTACAACAGCAAAGAACTGAATTCTGCCAGTGACCTGAACAAGCTTGGAAGAGGACTTTGAGTTCCAGATGAGACCACAGACCTGGCCAACATCTTGATTTCAGTCTTGTGAGACCCTGAGTAGAGAACCAGTAGAGTCCATGCGTGGACTTCTGACCTGCAGACACTGGGAAATAATAAATGAGTGTTGTTTTAGGTTGCTTAGTTTGTGTAAATTTTTTGCAGCAATAGAAAACTAATACAGGTGATAAAGGCTGAGAACTGCCCGCAAGTATCAGGGGACTCAGAATTCGCTGAGAAGCCAGCAAAGCCTACCTTCAGGGGTGATGAGGAAAGCAAACAATTTCTGGAATTAGACAAACCTGGGCTCAAATCTAAGCACTACTATTTATTAGCTGTGTGATTCTTAGGCAAGTGTCCTTTGAGTCTATTCCTTCATCCATAAAATGGGATAAATGCTTATCTCACAAAGTTGTCATGAGGTTTAGCTGGGATAATAAATGATCATAACTGTATTAAAAAACAACACCACGAACACTCTAGTAGCCAATCTAAGGCACTGTAGGAAAAGTGGAGAGACGGATAGCAGAGAGACTAGTTGGAATTCAGTTGCAATATATCCCAATACTTAATTACAGGAGCCCTGACACCCTGGGCTTCCCCCTCTTGGAAGTTTGATGAGTATTAGTTGAAATACAGAGGTCAAAGCTTCCCCAGGTGTCCTTTAGTTAGGTTGTTGGGAGGAGGTGAGGTCAGATGCTTGAAAAGAAAAGCTTTTTTATCCTTTTCCTAGCCGGGCTCATAATCTCTAAAGCCACACTTCTAGGGAGGAAAAGGAGAAGGGCAGATGCTGACACCCAGAAGAGAGGGCCTGGAGTGCAAAAGAGGAGCCTGAATGTCCATCTTTTCTCTCCTCAGTGAGTCCAGGGATAGAGAATGAGGGATACCAAGACAAAACAGACTGTCTCGTTAACTCTGGGTGGCAGCAAGATAATTCAGGCCTGGGGAAAGTGGCCCCACTGCCCAGGAGCTCAAAGACATGATGTAGTTTGGTGAGGCCAGATTAGATGTTAAGTCTTGGAATTTAACCTCATTTCAGAGCAGTTGCTTATAGGAGCCCTCTTGTAGAAAATGGGGCCAGGAGTTTGGTCAGAAATATCCAAGTGAGTCCTCACAACTGGGGATTTGGCGAAAAGAGCCTTGATTGCCAGCAAGTAACCTAATTTCCTCTTTTTTTTTTTGAGGAAGAGTAGCCCTGAGCTAACATCCACCACCAAACCTCTTCTTTTTGCTGAGGAAGACTGGCCCTGAGCTAACATCCATGCCCTTCTTCCTCTATTTTATATGTAGGACGCCTACCACAGCATGGCTTGCCAAGTGGTGCCTTGTCCACACCCGGGATTTGAACCAGCAAACCCTGGGCCGCCGAAGCGGAACATGCGCGCTTAACTGCTGCGCCACCGGGCCAGCCCAAGCAACCTAATTTCTGAGCCTGTTTTCTATCTGTAAAGAGAAGCGGTTGGACTCATTTTTCAATTCTTGTGTTACCGAACCAGGTTTGCTTTTGCTGGTCGCCGAGGAAGTCAATCACCAAAATGACAAGGTTGCAGCAGAGAGAGGGTTTAAATCACAAGGCAGCCACATGAGAAAGTGGGAGAATTAGCCTCAAATCTGCCTCCCCCAAAATGGAGAATCAGGGATATTTATGGGGTAGTGGGCAAGGTGGTCTGGAGTGTGGGGATAGATGACTGGAGGTAAGAAGTGAGGTAACTGATGACCTGCACAAGCCCAGTAAAGCTTCACGGCCTCACCACAAGATGGTGGTGTTAGCATGATCTGAGCGTGGAGTGTTTAGTCTGTTGACCTCAAAAAGGTCATTTATCACGCACCTTCACAGGTCTAGTTGATTGGTTGGTGGCCTCAGGTGGCCTGAACTGGACAAGGGGGTCCTAATTCCTGAAAAACAGCTAAAACACCCATTACCATGGTGACCCAGGCACTAGGGAGATGTTACCTAGAGGAACCTAGTGGGAGTAGGATAGTATATTGCCTAAGCATCACAGTTAATAATGGGTGGGGGGGCCAGCCCGAGGCTGAGTGGTTAAGTTCAGGCGCCCTGCTTCAGGAGCCCAGGGTTTTGCAGTTCAGATCCCAGGCATGGACATGGCACCGCTCATCAAGCCACGTTGAGGCTGTGTCCCACACAGCACAACCAGAAGGACCTACAACTGATGAGGATGTGGGGACCTGGAAATGGCCACCCCAAGATATGTCTCTTTGGCATGATTATTTGAGGCTGGTTTCTTTGCAGACAGGAAAGCAAATGAAAAGTAGAACTTGGCTTGCCCCTTTTTAAGGAGACATTTACATTGTAAAGGAAATCTCTATCTGTAAAGGTGCCTCCCTCTCTGTACCAAGAAGAAAGGAGATGACCTTCTCTCTAGAAACTCTTAATCAATGCCAAAGGCAAGGACTTAAATCTACATTTTATTGTGCTTGTCTGGTAACCTCCTGTAACTGACTTCCCTCCCCTTCCCAACGTTGGCATTTCTTTAAGGATTAAGCATCTTTCCTTAGGCTAGGAACTGATTGCTGCCCTCACCTGTGACCACCCAGCTCAAGACAATAGACTTGCCTCCTGCTACGGCCATCCGAGATAGCAGACCACTCCCTGCTGTGTCCACGCGCTGTGCTGACAGGGCAATCCTGTGACTATTGTGGGAAGGACATTTCAATCATATGTGAAATATCCTGTTTGGGGGTATATAACCACTCTGTATACCTCACTTCTTTGGTGCCCTTTATTCCTGTGGGAAGAAAGGCCCCGGGCCATGGTCCTCAGATTTCAGCTCAGAATAAACTCTCCCAAATTTTCATTTATAGATTGGTTATGGATTATTTTCATTGACAATGGCTAACTGTATACCGGTTTCACTTGTAGTTTTGTGATATAAGAATAGTTACTAATAAGGTTCCTTACATGTAGCAGTTGTTTTCCCATTAGTTCTATTTTAAGCGTCAAAGGGGTGGGGTATGGGGGAGGCTGTGTGTAAGCAAAGAAGGTATTTTTATTAAATTGTCATTATTATTATAGTCGTTCCCACTTTGAGGTAGGTGATGGAGTTGCCTCCGGAAGCGTACTTAAACCACGGTACCGTCCACTGCTGGCCGCTCGATTTCCTTCCATGCTCGCTCCATAATGGCTGCTGCAATCCACGAGACCCGATTCCCGGCGTGGGGCGGTGCCAAAGTAGTTTGTCCTTATCGCGCCGCCGTAGTCCGCCCGCGGCAGCATGTTGGCCCCCTCCCGCCGAGGCGCGAGCGCCGCAGTGGGCGGGACCTTACGCTGCGCCCGCTGTGCGTCGGTGCGTGAGTCCGACCCCGCGCGCTCCGGAGCGGCCCGTGAGCTCACACTCGGCTTCCACTGAGCCTTAGCCTGCTTGCCGCCGTCGCCGTCATGCTGGGCGCCCCTCTTCGCCGCTGCGCGGTAGCAGCAGCCGCAGCTGCCCGGGCTAGCCGTCGAAGCCTCCTGCACTCTGCCCCGGCCCCCGGCCCCGCCGCCGGTAAGGCCCCCGCCTGCCATTGCCCGCGCCCGCGTGTCCTTGCGGTGACCTGGGCCCCCGCCGCCACTCGAGAGTTGGTTCGCCCCGCGGCCTAGTCCCTGCTCTGCGGGCGGGGGGCCGAACCCGGTGACCACTGGCCGCTCTCTTCGCTGCCTTCAGTTGTGGAGGACTGGAGGACGTGACCCGGGGGCCCTCCGCAGCGCGACTTCCTGGTTCGGGCACCGCTTACTGGTCAGGTGTGGACCAGCTGTGGGCGCCGCGGAGGGGACAGCCCACCTCAGGCGCCTACCGAACCCGTTCGGGTCCCGGGCCGTGGCCGTGCCCTGGCACTGACCTCTGCGGCCACCTGACTGGGAGCGTCCGCCGCCAGCCCGCCGCGCTTCGGCGAAGGTGACATTGAGCCACAGGACGCGCTGCTCAGTGTAGGAGCGGGGTGGCCCCTCCGGGGACCCGGGCACCGCCGCCCCCAGCGCCTTCCGAGAATACAGTATGCTTCCGTGTGGGACACAGTATACTTTGTTATCATGCATTTCCTGGTTGGCGTCTTGTGTGTCATTTTCACAGACCGTACTGTCATTTTTAGAGACTGTTGTGCCGCGTTCTAATTCTGCCACGTTTACCATAGATAGATGTGTGTGCTTGTTTGCGGGGGTCTGGAAGAGAGTCTGAATTGATAGGTCTTATGATGAGAACATTACTCTTTTCGAAGATTGGGTACCACAGACCCGGAAATACTGGGTTCTGCAAACATGGGGAAGGGTTCTTTTTTGCTTCGGATTAGAAGCCTGATGGCTTGATTATGAAGTGTGTTGCTGATTCCTGTCTCTTATTTTGTCTTATATGTATTCCAGGAGGCTTTGTGCCCAGCACTGCACTTTTAATTATTGTAGCTGCTCTTTGATCGTGGTCCATGGTGTTAGTATATGCTACATTATGAAATTTAGCCCCTAAGCATGCATATTTAAACACATGAGCTCAGAAACTCAAAACCAGTAAGGTTGTTCTCTTGACTGTTTTGAGTGTTTTAATTAGACGCTTGAGAACCTAAGGAGTGTGTTTTGCTTCATTCAATGTAGACTTTATCATAGAAGGGCGAGGCTGGCATACACTTCGAAGACCATGGAGACCACCTTATAGAAAAAGAAACTGAGGCCCGTCCTGGGAAACGGACTCCTTTATTAGTGATGGAACCATTTTCTGTTTCTTAGATATAGTTATTTTCGGCGCATCCTCATGTTTGTCAGATTTTATGGTTTTTTGTTTCTTTCCTTATTTAAGTGCTAAATCAGCAAATACTGCTTTAATTTTTTCATACAGATACGTTTTGGGGAGGTTTCTTAGGTCCCCTTCAAAAGAATAGCTGCATTTTGTGGCAGGTTCGGAAATGGCAGAGGTTTTTGGCAAACTGCAGATTAAGGAGTTCCTCTTTTCTTACTAAGTTTGGACATAGTGTTTTATCTTCTAGGCGTTCTATTCCCACTCTTGAGTATAGTTCATAAACAAAAAGCTTTATCTTAGGTGTTTGTCCCATATACCTAAATATTTGCCACAAGGAGGCAGTATTGGTTACATTTATGTCAGCTCCTTTCTAGCTGTGACCTTGGACATGTTAACCTTAAGACTCAGTTGCCT